TATATTATATATGTATATATACATACACACACACACACACACATATATATATATATATATATATATATATATGTTCACGGACGGTTTAGAGTGAAATAGTTTTATACTTTATATTACCAAAGTGGTGTAACAGTTTGCATCATTATGAGGACTGTTTGCCTCATACCTTAAACTTCTATATTCTTTGATTAGACATTACCTGCCTTCAGGCCCTGTCGTCAGTCGCCTATGGCTTCTGACAAAGTATCTCATATTCTGAGTGCCCGGTCTCCTCTGTAGTCCGTTACTGATCACCTATATTTTGCACTACTTTATACACTAGCTACTTTACTGTCTATATTCTTGTTCTATTGGTATACACATATCAGTTACTCATATGTGTAAAACCAATATCACTAGACACACAGCACTCGTCTTTCGCCCTAAAACTAACCCTTTCTGCACCTGAGTCATCAAACATGACTCACTACTACACGTGGACCACACACATGTGACAATCCCCCACTATGGCCACATCTCTGCCAAGTCATAGGGTGGTCGTATTCTCTAGTGTGTCCATATGCTAGATCGATGTATTTCCACAGAGACATGCTGCCTCACTCTCCCTCTGACCACAGTCAAGTGAAGTATCAGCCCACACGTTTTACTATGCCGCTCTACTAACCCACAAGGACATGCTGCCGCACTCTCCCTCTGACCACGGTCAAGTGAAGTATCAGCCCACACATTTTACTATGCCGCTCTACTAACTACGTCGCGCTCCCTGTGAACTACTGCTTCGGAGTCTCGATCCCTTGCAACGCCAATGGAAGCATATCCCACTTGCGCAACATACGATTGCGACACGTTGCCACCCGCGATAAGTTCAAGCAAGCAATGACCCGCGAACGAAACAACTCACGCTGCTGCTTGATGGAAAACTGGTCCAAAAGAATCGTCTCATGATCTTATGTAACTGAACCTTCTGAAACGATGCAGACGCAAATGGCCAATCAATAGCCTTTGTTGCCTTATTACACCAGCCTCTCCATCTGCCCCATGCCGAACTGTTCGCATCCGCCCATCGCCGAGCCTTCTCCGTACGCCGCAAGCGATGACCAAGCTCCTGCCAATATTCATACGACAAATCCTGCATCGGAGATCTATACAACAACCACGGTATAAAATCCCCTCGTGGCTTATAACTAACAGCTTTCTGCTTCTCCGGTGGCGGCATGTCAACACCCTGGACATGCACGTTGCGTTCATCCAACATATACGAATGAATAACCCTTGCTGCTACCTCCAAATTGTACTTTAGGGTTTAAGATTTTTAAGTTCGGTAGAACCTCCACAATCCTCGCTGGCCCAGCATACAGCGTAGCCAAAGCATGACTCACTCCACGCACCATATAACGAGCCCAATCACCTACTGCAAAAGCCTAGACTTCTACACGCTGAAAATCTGCCACTCTCCGTTGGGACTCCTTTGTACGTCTATCCCGTACCACTGCAACAGCATCACGCACCATGGTTTCTGTACCACGGTCCGTCAACAACACCCCTAGCACACGATCCTTCGACTGTTCACGCTGAGCAAGCAGAAATGTACGCCCCGTCATGTGAGAATACGGAGAAAGCCCCGTAATCGAGTTCACCGAAGCGTTATACGTCCTCACCACATCGTACACGAGAGTTCACCCATTACCCTACATCTACATTGGCAGCCGCAACTTCTCGCTTGAGCCAATCCTTCATGATCCAAATAAGGACCTCTGCGCTCCCATTGCCCTGATGACGATCGATTGACACATAATGCGGCTCAATCTGCCGCGCCTCACAAAGGTTAGCCATAGCATTCGTGCTGAATACCGAATCTACATCCATAGTATTCCGGTGCGGGACTGCCAATGCCAGAATCTGCTGCTCCTCCAAAAACCGAACAGCATCTCCAGCATCAACACTAGGTGGAAACACCCATACAAATACCATACGTGCAAGCGTATCTACCACCAACAACGCATGCTCCATGCCACACGCGTTGGTAGTAGGGAACTGCACAAAATCTACGCCAATCTCCGTCATACCTGAGTCCGGTCGCTCTGGTTGCTGCAACAACCCTCCAGCTAAAAACAACACCTCCTGACACTGCGCACTCAAGCCAGTACAACCCCACAACTCCTAGACAAGATGGCCAAGCCGATCCGATGTGCTGTGGGAAAACAACTCATGCGTATACCGCAGTACAGGCATAGCCACCGCACCACATCACCCGCCACTTCAATACCACAGAGCTAACGTCGTACCTCTCGTCTTCCAGAAACGCCTGTTCCATACGCGGGCCAAACACTGGCACTGCAAGTGGGCCAACCCTCCAAGCGCACCCGCGGCGCATCCAACAACGACGCAGACGGCGAGGCCTCTGGATCTTCACAGACAACCTCCTCCTATTTCAGGTTCGCCCATCCGCAACTTATGTGACTGCGACCACATACGCCCGTTGCTTAGCTTACGCTTGCTCAGCTGGCACCAGCTAGTCCTCTAATACAGACTCATGCGGCATAACCATAGCTGTCATGAATGCACACGACCCAACCACATGTGCAATAGCTTTCAAGGTAAAGCCACCCTGCCGAGAATCATGGCCACAACGAACCGGGTTTTAAACAACCCCGACCACCGCAGGAAGTACTTGATCTTGAGCCATACAAGGCTCAAGGTCATCCGGTCGACTCCTCCTCAATGCTCCTACCAAAGCACCAGTCACCGGTCGATGCGCATCCACCATCGCCGTAAACCTCTCAGCCTATGTGAACTTCTCACAACGCGGACTGGGGTGACAAAATCAGCGTCACAAACGGAGGCGGCGGCATAGGGATACGCCCATGCTTCAAGAATACCCCCTGCTCCGGAGGGATCACAATCGGCGTATCCGCGAAGAACGGCAGCATCTGCTTAAACCAGGCTAGGCTGATTCAGGAGAATACGGAACCACTACCGTAGCAGTGCAATGGCCCTATCTGACTTGATGATTTGAATCACAGCGTCCCAACTTGGAAAACAGGGAGTTCATGTACCGAACTCTGCCCAACCCATGTGCCCAGCGCAAACACCCCACCTTCTAAAGTGGATGGGTTGTTACGGCACCATCAAGTCATTGCCCGGCAAAGCAAATCCTTCAGCATCCAAAGGGATCAGTTCGCTGTAGTGCTGTCTCAAAATACTTGAGTGCCAACGAGTACTCTTCTTCTGTGTCCGGCATAGTAACCAAGGGATGCGCAAAATTCGCACATTTATTCTCAGACGGACCCTCCACCTGCACAATCGGATCAATAGGATAGCCTAACCGAGACAAAACATCCGCAACCGGATTGTCCCTTCCTGGGATGTGCTTCAACGCCAACTTAAAACCCCGCAGGACCTGGACCTACTGACCCATACATCAGCCTCGCACCGAGTCTTCAAACTCATGCAGCTCCTTCTATATCATGGCCACCAAAGGCCAATGATCAGTGCACACCGCTAAGCCATGCACCGACCGTCGAACAATCCGCCTAGTCTTGTGTAGCGCACACCCGCAACTCTACATCCGATAAGTTCGCAAACGTTGGATAGTCGTTGATATATGCAATGTATTTTATAGCTACCATCATGGCTTCAATACCAGCCTGGGGAACCTCAATCCCCTTGCCCAACGCTCTCATTGGCCCTTCATCAAACGTTCGAAAGTCTTTTGGTCGTCTCACGCGGATCTATCTCACCTACCAGCAAATCTACCGGTGCTAACAGGTCAAGAATCCGCAGCAGAATATGCTTATCTGTTAAGTCTAGTTCATCTTCAACGCTCATCTTCTCAACACGCTCCTTCATCACTTGGAAGTGCGCCGTAGCCGCTGCCACGTACAGCTTCTGCACAACACTACATACTCAAATGCACCTGTCACATGCATAATGTTCAACTGATGTTGCATCCTCGCCTGGCTACGTCTCTCGTTTAACCTTGGCATCCCATGAACGTCGCTTTGGCGCTAAGGCCCTCGCACGCCGCCCCTGCCTAGCGGTTAACACTGTGACCGGCTTAACCAACGCCATCTTCTCTGATGGCTCGGATGTCGTCACCGATTTCGGTCTCATTGCCTCGTGCAACAAGAAGTCCATGCGATCACCGTTGTGCACTAACGCTAAAAGCTTACTGTTAGTCAGCATCAAGTTTAATCCATCCTTAAGCATGGTGTCATGACCTACACTAACACATCCGTCTCCATTGGTAGTGAATCAACCTACTACCCACATTCTCAGTACAGGCTGCAAGAACCGCTCATGCCAACTCTTCATTCGTACTGGCGTCTTAACCGCTCCTTGAGGTGAAAGCATTCCCATCTCAGCAACTCCTTGAAATGGTAAACCCATGTACCGAGTCATACTCAGACCCGCTCTGTCTACCAACCCTTTTGTAGTTGGATTTGGTGTAGCTCCAGAATCTGCATACACCGTGATAGGCATTCCTCCTACCTCGCCTATAACCGCACTGTCTCTGTTTGCCGTGTCTTCATTCACCACCGCTGCGCCTACACCCTCTTCCATATGCCCTGCACCGGTACCACTCTCTACTACTCCATCACCAGAAGATGACTCGGTCAGTCACTCCTCCTATACTGGGGGGTACTGGGGGGTCAGTGCAACCAGCCTTGGCCTGTGGCAAGTGCACCGTTCTTCCCCAGCACCCGTGTGATCAGCCGGCCGGCCTCGCCTCCTCTATTACGCCCACGTTGGTTCTTAACCTTCGTATGTAGCAAGCTGATCAAACCTAGCCGTAAACGTGGCCACAACACCCTCCAAACTGCGCTTGGTCCCTGCTGAACCTCCATCCATCTGGCGCCCATGCCATCTCTAGTTCCTGCATTCTGATGAGCCTGACCAGGCGTCTGCTCAGCCGAGGTGGTGCTGCCCTAGTCGCATGCTGTCGACATGCTGCAACCCTTGATACCGTCAGACTACCGGTAATCCTTTGGTAATTATTTGACCCCCAGGCCCCATCTCTCTGAGCAGCTACATATCCCACCACCGCATTAGACCACTTCTGACCCAGCACTCGTCGCAAATTCCCAGTCGTCACTCCAGCCGCTGCCGCTCCTCTGGCCGTTGCATGGCTGCTGTAGTTGCTAAAGTTAAAAAGGGTCCAAGGCCGTACTCGCCACCCCTTCCGGAGAACAGTTACCAATCAAATTCAAATAGGTGCCATCCAACCAGGCTCAAGCAGGTGTTATCTGCAAACTCCCTGATCACCCCAAATGGCTTTCCTCATCATCCTCCAATATGATACGCTCCGCCTGGATCCTCAACTGCGTTACCGGGTGCTTGTAGACAGGCCCCATGATCGACGCCTCCCTCGACAACACAACACATACAACTCCAGAATTCCTACCTGCATCAGCTATCTAGACAGGTCCCATGATCGACGCCTCCCTCGACAACACAACCCAAAATTCCTACCTACCTGCATCAGCTCCAATGCAACCACTGTATTACTCTGAATCTGCTCCCGAGTATGAATTCTCAATCAAACACATCGCACGCGCCAACATCGTCTCCTCATCTTTTCCTTTCACAGTAGCATAGGTTCTCGTCTCTTTAACCCTAGCTACCGTTTCCATACGATGCTGAGTGAAGCTCTTCCATCGGTGCCTATTAAACGACTGTAATTCCATAGTTGCTGACATGTCTTACTAGCTTAATATGTTCAGCTAAATACTTTGATTATGAGAAACTTATTTAGTTCAAGAAAGGTTTAGAGTGAAATAGCGGTATACTTTATATTATCAAAGTAACGTAACCGCTTACAAGAGCACGAAGACTGATCACCTCATAACCGTAACTTATATAGTCTTAACTAGACATTGCCTACAGTCAGTCCTCTCTGGTTACTGACATTACATCTCTTTGTATCCCGAGTGCCCGGCCTCCTCTGTAGTCCGTCACTCGTCACCTATATTCACACTATTTAGCACGTTACGCTACTTTTCATTTAATGCACATGTTCTATTGGCATGCACATACCGAATCACTCGAATGTGTAAAACAAATATCGCTAGACACACAGCAGTGGTATTTCACCCCGAAACTATCCCCTCGTACATCTGAGTCATCATGCATGACTCACTACTACTCGTGGACCTCACACATGTTACAATACATATGTACATATGTAGATCCTGTAATATATATATATATATATATATATATATATATATATATATATATATATATATATATATATATATATATATATATATATATATATATATATATATATATATATATATATATATATATATATATATATATATATATATATATATATATATATATATATATATATATATATATATAAACACGTATGCTGTATGCTTCTAAAATTGTAATCAGAACAGTTTAGATCGTTGGCCCGTAAAATCAGAATATTTATTATAAAGGATTATATATTTTACTAGATATAGGCTCTTAAGGGGTTGTTTGCACCCTGCCATGCTTAATCTACGTTTATATACCTTTATATTCACTTGGTCTGCGCCATTCTTTGATAAATATAATACTGTAAACACGTCTAACATCGGGGGGTTGCCTCACTCAATTACCTCCGATTTAGATTCGCATAATAGTGTCGTCGGTCATGAAGATTGAGTTATCGGCCATCAAACTCTGCAAAGGTAAAAAAAAAATCTTTATAGATCAGCAATCGATGACAAAGCATGGCATTTTCTTCCAAGGGGTTGGAGCTCTATAAAAACCCTAAGATATACCAACATCGATACATACGAAGAGATATATGTGTACATAGAGCATATGGAACTTTGGTACTCGGTGGAGTGCAAACTAGATTTCTGGAATCAAGCAGCGTCAATCCTACGACGTGTGTACGGCAAATGTTTAATACATTAATAGAAAACGCTCTCGCTGGCACAATGATAGAACGGTAGCCAATAAAACGCACGCACACACACACAAATACACAGTGCATGGCTGCTTATAGAAGCATCCATGTCAACATAGATATTGTAAACATGGATATTCAAAGGTGTTCCTACTTCTCTCTCTTAAAGAAAAAAAAATCCCGCAAAGGAGGGGATAGTTTCTAAGCAGTCGGTTTTAAGCGACCACTTCATCGACATCGAAATATAAGGGATATAGTACTAGAAGATGAAGTCATGTTGTGATCTACTCAGATACACATACACACCCTAAACCCTAAAATAAAAACTCTAAACCCTAAAAATATTGGCAAGTCATATCAGTGTCCATGCCATACTTAATGCATAGTTGCCTACCCCTAAAACATAAAACATGCCTATCAACAAACACATAGATAGTAAGCTATATAAACGTGCAAAAGCTCAAGCCTTGTGCTTGGTGCCTCTGTACTGCTAACGCCACTTACCACCAGCATGGTGTCAATCTCTGCCAGGGTGAAGTTCCCGGCTAAGAGCTTGTTCTTGATCTCTTGTTTGTTGTATGTGCCATCCTCAGCCTCCTCATTCATCAACTCGTTTAGAGACAATCGGAACGCCGCTTTTCTGTTCGACATAAACCAGGTTCAGTACGGTTGGTGTGAGATATGTGCACACTAAGAAATAAAAAACCAGGTTCAGTACGATTAGTGTGAGATATATGCACATTTAAGAAACAAAAAACCAAGTTCAGTACGTTTAGTGTGAGATATATCCACACTAAGAAACAAAAAACCAGGTTCAGTACGGTTAGTGTGAGATGTATACACACTAAGAAACAAAACCCAGGATCAGTACGGCTAGTGTGAGTTATATACACACTAAGAAACCAAAACCAGGTTCACTACGGGTAGTGTGAGATATATACACACTAAGAAACAGAAAACCAGGTTAAGTACGGTTAAGTATAGAGTGTAACGTTAGATTGGATTGGTTATAAGGCCACTCCCATGCACTTAAGCTATTGTGAACATATTGACCCATGTGCTATTGCGAACATATTGAAGCCGTAATATGAACTCACTCGACGATTTAAACACAAGCGGGGATACGAACTCGGATTTTGTATAGTGATTGTGAAGGCAGAAATGTCTTGATGGTTGTAGCGCAGGCATACTCTATTGTCTAGAAGGTATCATTGCATGAACGTTCAACTGGCAGTCTACAGTCACAGCAACCATAGGAGTGGGAAAGTAGCCGTTATTCATTGCGGAAAAAAGCGTTGTAGCTGCACCCTTCCAGCGATTCACCCACATTAAAAGACGATGATCACCGAGCAGATACGTGCCAGTTGAATACAGCCGTGCAGGGTTTAGCAATTTAGCATTCACCATGAGGCCTTGTTGTACTGCAACATCATATACAAGCCATACCAGTTTTATACTCTGTATATATGTATAACTGTACCTATGTAAACAGTATATGTGTATAAATACACAAAATAAACATATA